TTTGAGGTTGACTCCTCACCACCAGAGAGCACTGCGATGTTTGCTAGCAATTCTCAGGGCCAAAGGGATTTGGACCAACAAAAACAAACTGAACGTTGGATTAAACTCTGCCGAAGAAATTACTCACTGAAAAAAGGATTTCCCAGAGTGCTCTTGCCTGGCCAGCCTCTGGTTTTACACATTTGCTCACCCATTGTTCTAATGAATTCTTCTCTTAATGCAGCCCTAAGCCTTTCTTAAGACAATGTGTAATCTATCCCTAAAGCCTTTTTTTTTTTTTTTAGGGGTGGTGGTAAGGCAGGAAAGGCACAAGATTCTCTTTTCTACCTGCTCACCTGCTTTTTAGAGGAACAACCAACCAAAAACAGATATTTAATCTATTAATATAAAGCATTGCTCTAGCATGGGGATACCAAGATGTGTAAATCCAGTTCCTGACTTCCAGGATTTTCTAACCCATTTGGTAAAACAAGACACCAAAAGGAAGTATGCTGGATCGAGAGTCTGAGGCTCTGGATTCAAATCTTGACTCTTCTATTCACTAGCAATGTGATTTAAACAAGTCCCTTCACCTCATGGGGTCTCATTTTCCTCATGTATAAAATGAAGGGGATAGACTAGCTTAGTCTTGAGGTTCATTCCGGTTTTAAATAGATGATTCTGTGAACATAAAAAAGTTAAATAACAATTCAACTGAAAAGATGTCAAAAGCAATACCCAGGATTAACTATCAAATGAATGGTGTGGAAAGTAACATTCTTTCAATGTCCTCAACAAATAGAATCCTGATATGGATAAAACACTGTGCTAAATGTTGAAGGAGATTAAAAATAATTATTAAGACACATTCCCTGTCTCCTCATGGAACTTCTACTCTTGCAGGAGAATATGTAAATGTACCTATTGCTTCCAGCTTGCCTCAGTCACTTCTGATCAGGAGTCTTGAGTGGCCTCCAGCTATTGCAGCTGGCTCACCTTCCTCATTTCTGCCACCTCCCTAGAAGTTGCTCTGTCCTCCACATGGTTCATCCTTTCAGAATTCCTACTTTCTATGTACTCACTGTGGGTCCACAGCATTATGGGAAAGTGAATCTTTCTGTAGAAGACCTGTGTCTTGGGCACCAATTTTGAAAAGGGGTATCCATAAGCTGGAGAGGATCCAGAAGAGAGGGCAAGTAGGATGGAAAGGAGGCTGAGAGTCTTACCATATGAGGACCACCTGAAGAAACTGGGGTTATTTACCTAGAAAAGGCATTGGTGGGGGATAATAGCTATCCAAGTTTCTGAAGGGCTCTTATATGGAAAGATTAGACTTGTTTTGCTTGGTCCCAGAGGGCAAAAGAAGTAATTGGTAGAAGCTGTAAAAAGGTGAGTTTTGTTTTTTCCTAACAATTAATGCTATCCAAGAGTAGGAAGGGCTAATTCTAGAAGTAGTGGGTTCCTACTCATTGGAAATCTTCAGGCAAAGACTCGATGATCCCTTGTCGAAGTACATTGTAGAATTCAAATATAGGTCAGACTTTGTGTCCTTTGAGGTCCCTTCCAACTCTGAAATTCTGTGAAATCTGTTGGGAGGGGGGACATGCAATAGGAATTCAGAGTACATGAGATCACTCTGTGAGGGAGCTTGGTTCGGGAATGCTACATTGGCAGCAAAGGCCAAATATTGTATTACTTTCTTCCTCTCTCCCTTCTCTCCTCTGTACTGGATCATTTACTTTCTGTCATTATTACTACAGAACCATGACTTCCTCTAACAAGCAGATAAAATCTGTCAAGTTATTGAGTAGACTTGGTTAAATTCGAGAACCCAAGCAACTTGGGGGGAGGGGGAGGAGAGAGGTGGCAGATAGCTGTCAGGGATATACACCACGTTCATCGGGGGTGGGAGTGAAGGATGGAAGGGGGCATAAACCAAGTCACAGTAGGGGGGGATAGAATGAAGTCACAGCTCAGAGGTCAGTAGCAGTCAGGAACAGTGGCCCCAAGGAGATTCCCAACTCTAACTCCTATACAGCCCCCTTCTAGTTAATCATTTCCTGTCCTTTCTTCCTGTTCTCCTTTTACCCAAAGGATTGCAACATCAGTCAGTAAATCAACCAAGCCAGTCCCCCACCCTCTCCCTCTTTGCTTGATCGCTCCCTCCTCCCTCTAGCTTCGTGTTGTAATCTTATTTTTACAATGAGCCATGTCTTTGAGTCAAAAAATGATAATGATATTTTTTTAAATGTACTACTTACCCAAAGCAGCTACATTTCTGGCACTGTTCGAGAAGCCCTCATGGGATTAGCTTCCTACTTTGACGGCCACTTCCAGAGGGCCCAGCCTCATCGTGCACAATGACACCCTTGCTGAATGTGACTTGGTATAGAATTTAAAGACTGCCACCGTGCAGAAAGCTTACTGGACTTGCAATCATTGTACAAAGCTTTGAATTTCTTTCCTACCACTTTTTTAATTGGTTTCTATGCCTCAAGTTTCTTTCTTTTCAATCTGTCCTTTACACAGCAGCCCATGTGGCTACTCCTAAAGCTCCATTCTAGTCATGTCACTCCCCTGTCCGATAAGTTCCACTGGCTGTTTCCACATTGTCCTGGCACTCAAATACAAACTCTTTTATTGGGCATTTAAATAAATCCTTTCCTAACCTTTCTCCAGTATGCTTTTCCAAACTTATTACTCATTGCTCTTCTTCGTGCGTTCCTTCTTGCTATTCTTCACAGAAAGTTCCTTCTCTCTATCTTTGCACAGGCTGTCCCCTCATGCCTGAAATACATTCCCTCCTTACTTCTGCCACAGAGAATTCCCAGTTACCAACAAATCTTAGCTCCAGTGCCATTTCCATCTATCAGCGTTTGGCACATAGTAAATGATTAATAAATGCTTTTTAATTGACCATTTGACCATAAGCAAGTCATTTCTCTGGGCCTTGGTTTTTTTTCGCCTACAATACACGAGTATTTATAGCTACCTAACCTACCCTTGGAAATTCTGTGAGGAAAGCATTTTGTAAAGCACAGATCCATGTAAAAATATCATCATTATTATTATTGTAACAGAAGCTACAGTCACTGGATTACCCTCATTCATACTCTTCTTAACTGCCCCTCCCTCACCAAGTCCTATTCTATCCCTTCTTTTCCACCTATCCACATTCTACCACCATCCATCAAGGCCCAAGTCATATCACCTCCGTGAAATTTATCCTGTTAACTTATAGTGAACTTACTCTCACAGTTTTGTATCTGGAAGGGCCCAGAGATGAGGAAACAAGGCCAGAAAGAGTGAGTTGTCCAAGGTCCTAGAGGTCATAAGGAGCAGAGCTGTAATTCAATCTCATCTGCTCATTTTGGTAGCTTTGCACTTGCTAGATTTTAAGGCCCTCAAGGTCAGGTATTTCCTTTTCTGTCTCTTTTACCAGGGTCTACCACAGACTTCATCAACTGTTAATATTTAAAGATAACATGAAGAGAATCATTTAATAGTGTTCTTTATTTGTATCCAAGGAGATAGCCGAATAATAGATCCTGGGATGGACAAACTTACTTCATAACCAAGACTGGTGGATTAGGTATCATGGCAAATCTGATCCAGCAGAGCCAGATAATGTGTAAGATGCCTTGTTTATCCCCTTCTCCATTTGAGGGGTCCTGAGCGTTTCTAAATGAAGTATGCCCAGATGAAACCTACCATGCTGCTTCTTCAGGATTAACTTTCTGGGTCACATATTTGCAGAAGGGTGTTGGTGTTGACACATTCAAGGATATGTTTTTCCAGTGCAGTGATGGGTTATAATGAGCAATCATCATAATATGCATCTCAATATATCATCAATGTATCACTCACTTTTATGATCAAATGCCCAAATGGTGAGATTTCCAGAAAAGGCTATGGTTCGCAAGTACCATCTTTGGCAGATGTCCTATCATCTGTGAAACAAGGAAGACGATCCCGAAGGTCCCTCCAAATCCTGATCTTCATTCAGTCACTGAACTTTGTTTAGTGCCTACTATATGCTAGGCATTGTGGGGGATGCAAAGAAGGGCATGATAGTCCCTATTCCCTGGGGGCTCACTGTCTGAAGGGGGAGACAACATGAAAGCAAATATGTACAAAAAAGATACACACAGGATGAACTGGAAAATAAATGACAAAGGGAAGGTGCTAGAACTAAGGAGGATCAGAAAAGCTTTCTGTAGAAGGTAGGATTCTAGCCTGCACTTAAAAGTAGCCAGGAGGTGGAGAGGAGGGAGAGCATTCCAGGTAGAGAGGGGCAGCCAGTGAAAATGCCAGGGAGTGTTTTGTTCAAAGAAAGGCAATGACGCCAGTGTCACTGGATCAGAGTCCAAGGTGACATATAAGGAGTAAAAAGCCTGGAAAGGTAGGAAGGGGACAAGTCATGAAGGGTTTTGAACATCAGAGGATTGATCCTAATATTGTCAAGACATGATTGTAAGGGTGGTTATGCCTTGATTCATTCATTTCCCTTGATGCAGACATCACTGCAAATTTTCAGGACTCCCAGCTTTCTGGGTAAGAGGGAGAAGCTCACGAATTAAGGGGTTACATTGTGCCCCAAGACTCCTCTGGTCCGCGTTACCTGAACTGGGGAAACCAGGGACTTCGAGGGCTAACTTTTCCGCAGCACTCTCTCAAGCCCCTCCCCCCTGCGCTCTGGCGTGCGCTGGGGGCTCACGCCAGGACAAGGGCGGAGCTGGGTGGGGTGGAGGGAGGGCGGAGCCGAGTGGATGGAGGCCCCTAGCCCGCCTCGCCGTCCGCGTCTGCCCCCGCCCCCGTGGGAGCGGCTCAGAGAACCCGGAGCTCGGAGTTTCCCGTCCTCCGGAACGGGCTGTCGGAAAGACCAGCGGGGCGCGCGGGAAAACCCGGCGCCGGATCGCACAGTTGTCTTTGACGCGGAGGGCTGTGGGACGCAACCGCCACCGCCTCCAGAGCGCCGGGCGGAGAGGGAACGGAGACCGAACCGCTGCCGCTGCCCCCCTCCCCCGCCCCCAGCCCTCCAGCTCCCGGAGCCGCCGCTTCCTCCCCCTGACCCCCTCCCCCGGCCATGGAGTGCCCTCACCTCAGCTCCAGCGTCTGCATTGTCCCGGACTCGGCCAAGTTCCCCAACGGCTCCCCGTCGTCCTGGTGCTGCAGCGGTGAGTGCCGCCCCGCCGGCCCCGGGCGGCTCGCTCTGCCTTCACCCGAGGCCGCGGCTCCGCCGGGCCTGGCCCGCGCAGGGGGTGGGGGGAAGAGGGTGCGTGGGTGCGGGGAGCCCGGCCAGGCCCAGGCTAGGGCCGAGCCTCCTTTGTTTCGTCCCGGCCCGGGGAGGAGGCGCCGGGACTCGCCTTTGGGGCGCCCCCTCGGACTGGGGAGACGACTGTCGGGGCGTGTGTGTGCGCGCGCGTATGTCTGAGACCCCCCCCCTTCTCTTTGTATCTGGGCGCCCCCCTCGCCCTGTCCTCCTTCTACAGAGTTTGTACAAAGCCCTTCCTGCGCCACCTCCCCCCCGTCCGTCAGGCTCCTCCCGCCCCCTCTGTCTCCCCGCACCCCGCTGCAGGACCACACGTGCGCCGCTTCCCGGCGTTGGTCATCCTCTCCTCGGACCCGGGGCAGGAAGAGCCAGCGCCTCGCTCCCCTTCCCCTCCCCCCAGGCCAGCTTTGTCTCGGCCCTTCTGGCGGTGGCCCCTAGGACGGTTCTTGTTGTCTGGCACATGGGGCGGGGGGGGCGCTCTCCAGTGACCCCTGTCCACCACTTCTCCACCGAGATGGACTCCTTTCACTCGCCCGTGAAGCTCAGGCATCCCGAGCCCCCTGTCCAGGGCGAGGGGGGCAGCCCAGGGAGCCTTTGAGTCATTATTCACAAAGTTCAGGGCGGTGGGGCATTGGATTCTTTATCCGAGCCACGCTTCACGAAGTTTTAAAAATAAGTAGGCTGCTTTTGAAAAAGAAAACAAAACTGCCTTTTTCTTTTCTTTTCTTGGAGGGGTGGTAAGGTCATATGTTTTATCTCTTTTTGAGGAAGGGGATCTTTACATAACGTATGGGGAACCCAAGAAGGAACACCGTGTTCTTGAATTCTTTAGTACAGGTGTTACAGAAATGCCGGAACATTTATTTCTAGGCTTTTAAAAATCGTGTAGTTTAAGAATTGGTGCCACTTGGGTCGACGGTAGTACCTCCTTATTGTCTGTACTTTGCACCATTGAAGCTGCTCTGATTACTTCCTGGTAGAGGGCACTGGTGATGCCGCTTCAGCCTTTGTGTGTCATCTTCGAGATTATCTGTTAGTTGTTTGCATTTTTAAAAAAGGACGTGAATTTAAAATAAAAAAACACTAAGTAGTGTGTTATAGGAAAGTCGTGTGTTACAGGAAAAAACTATAAGCTGAAATAATATGACTTAGTTTCTTATTTCAGACTGGAGACAGGGTAACAGGATGCAGAACCCTTTATAAAGTTTTTTTTTTCCCTTGTCAAAACACTAGATTTTTGAAATGTTGATTTGCTTTCTTTAAAAAAAAAAATTCACATCAGCACAAAGAGAAATCTATCGTAGTCTAAGGAAACCTATTATTTGACCAAAATCTGAAGTTTGTTGGAGCAGAGGTGTGCTATTATGCTTGTTTTTGTTAAACCAGATTTTTTTTCTCTGTAAAGATTGCAGGTTAGTTTATTTTACGGTTGGGTGTTGCAGTTCTTCTGCAAAAGGGAACAAATTTAAACAAGTATTTTCGATGTGTAAATTTAGCCTTAAAATCTTTGGGCTCATAGAATCTTACATTTAGAGCTAGAAGGGACTTCTGAGGTCCTTGGGTCCAGCCCTCTCATCTTACAAATGAGGAAATTGAGGCCGAGAGATGAAGTGGCTTGTTTGTCCTGTGCACACAGTGAGTTAAGTGTCTGAGGCAGAATTCAGACTTAGGTCTTCCTGACATCAAGTCCAGCACTCTCTTCACTACATGGGAATTAAACATGGGAATTCAAACCTGAAAAATAGTAAAATTCCCAATGCTAATCTTTACTAAACTAGTTGTAATCCAAAGTGATGGAATTTTCACACTTGTTATCCTGTTTTTAAAGAAAATCATACCAAATGTTAGGATGAATAATGCCTTTGAATACATACTCAGTCTAAAAAAGGGAAAAGTGGAAGTGAACAGATAATGCCATAGTGAGTCAGTTTCGTCTCAACCAGTCAAATTTCAATTTGTTAATAGAAAAGAGGTATAGAAAATATAGCCTGTCTTGAGAAATTAACAGAATCAAAATGAAGTACTGTATTTAAATTGTGTAACTTTAGAGAGTTTTCAACTGAAATATTCTTTTGCTGAAACAAGAAAAAATTTGTAATATTTGGCAGACATATTTAGCAGTAAGGGTGATTTCTAGCCACTAGGTAGGACAGCATCTTTACATCTTGCCTCAGGATTTGCTTCCTTCTGCTTTAAAAACTGTTGATGGTGTTGCTAGTTACTTGGATCTGTAGAACCAATGTCTCAAGTTATTGCTTTAAGATTTTTTTTCCCATTCGAACTTTTCTTAACGTTTGGACCCCTGGACTTATTGCAAGGGGTATGAAAATCTATAAAATATACATGTCATCTTTAGACTAAATAGCAGGACTACAGATACATTATATGTATATATATAGATAGATTCATTTCAGCTTTAGCTGTTATGTTTAAAAACAAATTAATTAAAATTGTCATAGCTTTTTGTCATTGAGAAAAAGTGTATGAACAGTGAATACTGTATGGGGATCCGTGAAATGTTTTGTCCTTAAAAATGGCTCCTCATACTTGATTAGGACGATTCTACTTTATAATAATGAATTAAGGTGTGTTTTACTTTGGCTTCCCATCCAAACATTCTGTCTTTTAGTTGTTCTAGAGTGGTGCTATATAACTTGATCTGGTTGTTTTAACAGGATTCTGCCTGTTTCAGTGATTAGCAATTAAATTAATAATTAAATTCAGGAAATCCTTGAATCATAGAATCATAGGATTCTTAACCATCTCACTATTTTAAGATGGTCAGATATTGATACTGTATTTGTACATAAGAAATCTTGGATTTCTCTGGTTTGTAAGCTTTCAGGGTGAAAGAGTAGAGTGCATGGTGCCTGATACCTTGAGGTACCATTGCTCGATGGGTGTCTAAGTATGCCTTTATTGAAAGAAAAATCCTTTTTTAGAATGGGAGCAATAAGAAGGAATATTATACCAGAGCCTTACTCTTACCCTTAGAGTTCATGCAGCCTAAGTGTCTTATAAAAGAAACTATCTTTCAAAAATGTCTTCTTAGAGTTTAAATGGGGCTCGAGACTTACTTTATGTTGAATTCTGCAGGGTTAGATGATGTAAATAGTAATTATCTTTATGGTGTATACTTCAAAATCAAGGATTATTCATTTTGCCACACTCTGTAAAACACTGTGCTAGACTGTAATTATGTAATACTTTTCTTTTTATTATTTGAAGGACACTTAATTTCCTTTTATCAGACATCTGACCCAGAGAAATGTTCAGGGTTCAGAGACTGGTAACTAATATCAATAGTATCTTTATAGAAATTTGTGAAGTTTTTGAAATGTATAAGTTATTTAGACTGTTAAAACTGAGGAGACTTTTTATGTTTTGGGAACTTTAAAGTATCCTGACAGAGGTAACTTTTAAGAAGAATGTTAGAAGATGTGATGTAGTACACTTGTGGTTTTTTATTCTCCTTGAATTTTAGATTTTGGGAACATCTTTTGATCAGGTATATTCTTTAGATTCTGTAATTTTTTTTTTTGTGGCCATTGTTGAAAATGGACACTCTTAGAGAATTCATGTGAAGAAACAGTACCAACTATTGCTTTTTTTGATGGTAGCACGAATAAGTTTATATTACCAAGATGAGAAGTCGCCTAGGTGGAATAATGGATTATTTTGTGTTATATTTGCTCCCCCCAGATTTGAGTACTTAATCTGCTGAAAAGCATCTGTTTTCCAGTCTTCCAGAAGGCAGGGCAAAATTTTTTTCCTTCTTGCTATCTTAAAGGATAGGATTAATTATTTATGCATGGTAGATGAAATGTTGTCACTGTCTTGCTCTAATTTTAAACCAATCAAATTTATGTTGATGACTCTAGATTTTGGGTGGAATAATAAATAATGCCTTACATAATAGCATCATGGGATTTAGAAGAGATATTGAGAAATCTTCTGATCCCCTAGGCAGTAAAGTACAGGAATCAGAACCTAAGTCCTCTATGCCAAGTCTTTCCACTTCAGGTATTATTATCATCACACTTTTACTAATGAGAAAACTGGGCTTTTTAGAAGTTAAATGACTTGTTCAAGGTCACCCAGCTTGTGACATTGATTCCAAGTCTATTCAGAATCACTACCTCTGGAACTGACATTGACAGTATCTTGCAAGTAATTACAAAAGAATTCCTTGCAAAATATTTCACCTGTCTTTCCTCCTGGGGTGACACTGCCAGTACTATAAAGAGTAAAGTAAATTAGAACTCTTTGACATGTCAGTGAGCAAGTGACCATCTGCAAAGCTGTTAACACCAGTCAAATCAGCAAATACCCACATATCTAGAGCTGAAAGGATGTTATAATGGGTATAAAAGGAATTAAATAAATTGTTCCTCTTACCTATTTATGGTATTTGCATGAAATACATTCCTTTTGAACCTGATGCAGTCATAGGTTTTGTTTTTATTTGATGCATTATTATATGCAGCTTTATGAAGGGGGTTGATAGGGCTAGATAGACATACAGTGAATGTGAGTGGAGACAAGAAAGACTAGGTGGGTAATCATTTCTGGAGACCTGCTTTAAAATTAAAAAAAATAAAACTGAAGTATTGTCTTTTTAGCTTTATATTAAAACGTATTTTTGTTCATCTTAAGTAGTCTCATCCAACTTACGTTCAAAATGCCCCCCCCTTTTTTAAAGGCAGTGGGGTTAAGTGAATTGCCCAGGGTCATACAGCTAGTACGTGTTATGTGTGTGAGGTCAGATTTGAACTCAGATCCTCTTGAATCCAGGACTGGTGCTCTATCCACTGTGCCACCAACCCCCTCTTAGCCATTTCTTCTTTGAAGAAGACATAGGTACCAGGACAGCTAGGTGGCTTAGTGGAATCAGGAAGACTCATT